GTACAAAGTTTTGCTGATGAATGACCAGTCTATCTTGTTTAGCCAAACCTTGTCTGATATAAGTTACCCATCTGCCTTCACAGAAAAAGCTCCTTCTCCTAATTTTTAACGCTTGAAGTCGCTGGCTCTCCTGAATGTCGTGAATAGCTGTAAGAAAAACAACTTTATATGTTAAAAATTTAATCGATGTTTTTCTCAAAGGTTCAAAGGGATATTTTTGTAGCGCACTAAGAACTTTAGGCAAATCCAATTCAGGAAACAACTTTGTTAGAGGAGGTCTGAACTTGAATACTCCTTTTAATAATCTGATAACATACGGATGTTGACCAATAGGAGTGTTATCTACTGGAGGTAAAACTGCAGATAACAGAGAGCGGTAACCTGTTATTGTACGATACTGTAAACCTTTATTGTATAGATCTGATAAAAACTCGGCACAATTTTTAAAGGATGTTGTGAAGGAATCAATATTCTTTTCACGACACCATATCATAAATTGTCTTTATTTACTGGAGTAATCTTTCTGAGTACCATTTCGCCAAGTTTCCTAACTGATCTTGAACAACATTTTTCTCTAAACTGTCTGTCGATAGCAACCATGCAGTCAGGTTCAGAACACCTGGATTTGGATGACATATCTGAGATTTTTGTTGTTGTTACATATTTGTAACCAATGGAAGACATAACGGTTGAGCTACCGACATATTTAATAACTCCGGATACCATGGGCGTCGTGGCCAGAATTGAGTTTTAAGAATCAGTTTGCAATGAAACTGTTTCATATGATGAAGAACTCTGGAAATGAGACACATAATTATAGTCCAGCGTTCAAAGAGACATCAACGGGCGCTTGCATATATTTCAAATGACCAACCGACGTTTGCATATTTTACATGATCAAACGACGTTTGCAAAATCGACAATAATTGGAAAAACATGGGTTTATATCGAATATAACCTTGCTAATGAAATTATAAATAAGTTAGGGACGGGAATTGCTTGTTAAAAGACATATCTTCTATTATTTTCCCTCTACAAGGGTTTCAAGTGAACAAAAAAGAATAGAAAAGGTAAAACCTATCGGCGTTTGCCTTACTAAATGAAAATTGGTGTCGAAGTGTTCTAAAAAAACACATAACTCTCCCAATTACTACCTACATTAAATAAAAGCACAATTAACGCCGGGTCCTAAGGTCTAGGTCTTAATTTTGTGGATGCAGTAGAATAAAAGATATCTTCAAATGATTACCTGAAATTGGGTCCGTGTTTGCTGAAATGTTAAATCGGCGTTTGCATTTGTGGTCACGTGACAAAACTTGTTCATCCAGGGTATTATGTTACACTCAAGATTTTATAGTTCGATTGTTTATGATGCAGCCTCATTTAATATATAGATTTGCCTCATAAATCCAACTGAATTTAATTGTAAGCACTGTATATTTATGAAAATTTGCAATGCATTTTTCGATGTCGGCCATGTTGGACTATTACGTAGAGATTACGTAGTGAATGCAAGGGATAGTTCTTTATCCGATGGCGCATAAAAATGAACACGTACGTTACCCTAATTATTTTACTTTCGATATTAGCGCATGATAGCTTATAAATATTTCTAAAAATCATTTGTTGAGGCTGTGACAAAAATTAATTTTGGTGCTAGGTTGAGTGCATTTCAGTTCTTACATAAACTCGTTCGTTTAAAATACATTTCTAGCTACCATATATAATCAAAATTAATCGCTAAATTATCTACATGTAACTAAAGTTGTTAAAAACTTAATATGATTACGATATTTTAATAAAAGTTTAGAAACGTTTTCATTCTGCGTGCGTTTTAGCGTGCGTATATCGTTTAGCGTATTTCGTTTAGCGTATATCGTTTTGCGTGCGTCTGCGTATTTCGTTTCGTTTAGCGTGCGTATAACGTGCGTTCGTATAGCGTGTAACGTGCGTGCGTTTTTTCCAGAACGTGCGTTTTGCGTGTAAACTGAAACGTTCACCCTACTGTAAGAGTCGTTATAAATATGCTAGGTCGCCAACCTCACGTTGCTAGGACGCTTGACCGCTAGACCGCCAACTTCATGCTGCTAGGCCTTTGGGCCGCTTGGTCGCCAACCTCACATACGAGAGACGGTCAGAAAATATCCGGACTTTTCATGCTCCTCTCTTTCCACGTGCAGCTATATACACACATTATATATTGGTGAAAACTACATTCATTCGCAAAATATGTAGTTAGTTTATTGTCAATGATAGTTGTGTATACACAGTATTTTTCCCTCTGATATATGATAGGTGTTTGATCGTCTATCATGGACTTGTTTTTAGAGGAACAACGCTACTGTAATAAAGTTGCTGGTTGCAGAAGGTGAAAAGCCCTGCGGCATCGTTCAAGAGGCTTAAAAAAAGAATTTTCTGATAAATGTGGTAATCACGTTCAACCTTCTACAACTGGGGTTTCTCAGTTTCGTTAAGGCAGAACAAGTGTTTGTGACAGGCCTGGGACTGGGCGGCCAGCTGAGCGGTGACCCCAAACAAATGGAAGCAAATGTTAAAAGCTTTTGAGGCAATAAATCATCCCAGTAAACTTTGGAGAGGTAGCCAACAAGTTTAGCATCGCTAAGCATTGGCACACAGAGTTTTACATGGCATCACCTAGGCATGAGCAAGGTTAGTGCCAGGGGGTGCCTCGAGACAGCTGTCCGCAGATCAAAAGGCAACCAGAGTAACCAATGCAAAGAACATTTAAGTCGTTTAATCGTGAAGGGAGATAAGTTTTGAACCGCATTATCACTGGAGATGAGATGTGGTTCATTATTCCGAACCTGAGAACAAAAGATCAGTCAAAGCAGTGGAAACGAGCTGGTACCCTCTCCACCTTAAAAGTTTAAGCTGTCTCCTTCGGACTGGCAAAGTCATGCTTGTTACCTTTGGGATTCACGAGGAGTGATACTTACTCATTTCATGCCAAAAGGTAAAACTGTCATCGCCAAGTACTATTCTGAAGTAATTCTGAAAAACCTCAGAGAAAAGCTGAGAACAGAAAAATGTCCTCCTTCTTCACGATAACGCCCCCTCCCATACCGCCGCAGCTACAGTGAAAGTTATCAACTCTTACAAATGGCAATTGTTGTCTCACCCTATTTATAGCCCAGACCTCGCCCCCTGTGACTTTTATTTGTTTCCAGAACTGAAAAGATTGCTTGCTGGAACAAAATAAAGACCAGGGCGGCTTAGATATCTGCTGTTACACAATACCTAAAACATAGGTCTACACCATGGTTCACAGCGGGAATATAAAAGCTCCCATTTAGATGGCAAAAGTGCGTAGACGTAGGTGGAGAATTTTTTGAAAAAGATTAGAAAGATTTTTTTTTAAATGTTGAATGGTTTTCGAGAATGAGTCAAAAGTCCGGGTATTTTCTGACTTCCCCTTGTATCTTATTTTCTAACAATTTTAATAAGATATCTCACGGCTGATGTCTAGAGCGATAATAATACAACCAAACGTTTTGAAAAATAAGTGCATTATCTCTTTTCTATTATTTCCATTACAGTGATTTGCCCGTCCAAGGATGAATAACCCACGTGACCCAAGAAAATATCAATAAATATCAATTGGAATTTACTCGTAACGTTCAATTTATGAAGACTGCGGCAGTCTTTTTATTTGTTATAAACAGATGTATATTTTATCTTTACACTTTCCAATATCAGCTGTTGGTCAGTCGCCACTATAACAGGCATTCTTCTGAAATGTGTACATATTTCAGCTCAACATGACAATGGAATTCTAATCATAATGTCACTATTACCACACTGTCCTATTCGCATAAACTTTTAAAATACATTTATTTTGGGATGATGGCCTTTCGCTGCCTTGTTCCTGGTGGGGCTTAGTTTAACTAAAAAAAAACAAAAACAAATTTAAAAAAAATGCGTGTGTAACTTAAATTTCCAATTTCTATTAAAAACCTTAGGTTTATAAAACTATTACAGGCATCTTGCTCTGCAAAAATGAACGATCATCTCTATCAATTAAAATTGCAACATCTCACTCTCTGAGTTCTAACTATCCTACAATCTACATCACGTTCTTACTATTACCATGTGAAATTATAAAATCAAACATCAGTTATTATAGAATATGTATGGAAATTTAAAACGCACATATTTTTTACCATACATGATAACAATTCAATATGATTGCACAACAGTTGTCATATTCATTGTCTTCTTTTGTTGTACTATTATGACACATTTCACTTATTTTAAGTGTATTTATAAGTAATTCGGGAAAGGAAGGCTCATCATGCTCGTGAGCAATACCAGAATATGCTGAGGGAAAATTGCAGAATGGGTTTGATTGAGTATTTATTTAGAAAGATACATAAAACATAGACAAAACATAAAAATTACGAATTTTGTAATAAAGATACAATGAATATGTAGTTAAGTATGCTTACACACTTTTTGTATCTATTATATGTCATATTTGTCAGTGCATTGGGTATATTAAGGATATAGAAAGTTATGCTAGATATGACTTTAAATTATACATTTAACTTTTACAAGTTGTATTTCTACTTTACAATAGTTTCATTAACTGTTTACTGCTTACAACAATTCTTAAATTTTGGCTTGTTTTTGATGATCTTGCATTCTGACTTAAGTAATTAATTAATGTATACATCATATATACTGTATATCAATTTCACAATATCAGTTACAATGACTCACAACAGCTGTTCTTTCAAATCATTCTCTGAAAACAATAGTTGGATTTTGTACGATGATTTATCTGTTTCATACAACATTGAATTTTCTTGTTACATATTTCCTATATCAGTATTTGAAAATTACGATACAAGATAGTTTCCATACAGAGAGAGGGAGAGAGAGAGAGAGAGAGAGAGAGAGGGAGAGAGAGGGAGAGAGAGAGAGAGAGATATTATCTTAAAACAAAGAAGCTTATATAACATAGGCGTATGTATTATTGTCCACATGTAAATAAGTTGCTTTATCTCGAAAATGACAAATTAATACATTCAGTAGTTCTGAACAGCAAACATAAAATAGATAGATGTTGATACGAGATTGCTTTCAGTATCATACATTTTAGTCTTCATAGATTTGTTGTAATCATGTCTATTGAACATACAGGAACATCTCCCATATGTTATAAAATAATTTGTTAGAGACGTGTAATTATCACACAGTCTAGCTCAACGTAGACGCTGAAACATGAAAACGTATCTCGTTACAACTCTTATATTGTGTGGAATTGTTGTATCCGGCAGTGAGGATAACTGTCTACGTAATAACCCGTATTTTATCTTGTTTCCAAGGAACGAAGCTCTCATGACGCGAGCCGCATTCGACTCTATGGTATGTTTAAATATTTAATTCTTTTTATCCCAATGTTTTCTTAACGCACACCATCGGCACAAGCTGTGCTTTAAAACGAGCGCGGGGTTTCCAGTGTTACTGTTTCCGTGCTAACACTTATAAAATTAAATGCAAGTGGCTCTGTTTCCAAATTTATAGTCATCTTAAAAAATTTTTTTAAAAATAAAAACCCGCTTTGTAATTTGTTTAAAATATTAGAATATCTTTTTCAGAGGTTTGAAAAATTTTGATCCGTGTCGCTGTTCCGTTCTTAAAAAAAATTTCGTTTTTTAAAATAAATTTTTCCCCCTTAGATTGGTTTTTTACTTGCCCCCGACACCCTTTTGTAGTACATTTAAAGAGTCATAAAAAAAAATTTTTTTTGTCAATTTTCTGGTTCTCGAAAAAGCCCTTTTTTGTGCCTTATTTCTGTTAAAAAAAGTTAAAGGTCTGCTTTCATACTCAAAAAGTAAAAAAAATGTAAATTAAATTTTAAAACTTTCCCCTTTTTTCAACAACACTCTTTGGCGCGCTGCGGCCGTCCGCTAGCTTACTTTAAATTTTTGGTATCAAAAAAAAATTTTTTTTCTTTGTTTTCGGTTAAAAAAACTATTTTAGTACAAAAAAAATTTTTCGTCCTTCTCCCAGAAAATACTTTATGAGAGTTCAGGACTGACATCAAACATTGAAAATTCTGAATATTCGCATTTCGAGTTGGCATATCACTTCGAGTCGGCTGATTTTGAATTTCTATCAAATTCAGAGCTCCACGTTGATTTAAAATTAAAAACAGTCAACTTTTGAGCTAGAGTTGAATTTTAAGGTAGCTTGAAGATATAAATTCAAAAGTAGCATTAGTTGTTTTTCGAGATGGAATTGAAATTTAAGGCAGCTGGAAAACCGAAATTCACCAAATGCACTTAATTTTTTGCTTAAGTTGTTTTTTCAGGTAAGCTCGAAGATCGATATTCATAGTTCGGAATTCGACTTGAAGTTGAAGCTCAAGATAACTTGAAAATCGAAATTCAAGACATCATTGTAAACTGAATTTCGAGTTAAAGTTGAAGTAAGAGGAAGCTCAAAGTAATTCAAAACTTTTAAAACAGAATTAAGTACTGGAGTGGAATTTGGAATTATGTATTTTTTTAATTTTGATCTTAGACCTGCCTAGAAAAGCAACTTCAGGTCGAAATTGAACTCATGCAAAACTATGAATTTCGATCTTCAAGTTGACTCGAAATACTATTTCATTATGAAATAAAGTAATGGTAATTTTAAATTTCGATCTTCGACTTAGCTCAATATTTATCTAGAGCTCGAAATGTAATTACTGAAAACAATAATAACAACTTAAGATGCTACCTTTAGATTTCGATTTCCGAGCTGCCTCGAATTTCAACTCCAGTTTGAACATCACTTTTGAATGTGTTGACGAATATCGCACGGCATTCACAGCTAAATCAAAATTCAAAATACTCTGAATTTCTGTGTTCTGTGTCAGTGCTTATTTCTCGTGACTAGGTAATACATCAATTGAACATACTTTTATTCCCGTAATTAGAAAACGTATGTGTCACATCACATATCCAGGGGTCCATAAAAGATCGTTGCAATTGTATTCACAATTAGTTAGGACCACTAAATTGATTATGTGCTTTATTTATTTCTAATTGATTTAAATTTATACTATGATTTTCACAATCATTCCAGGTTAACAAAACTGCATTACTTGGCCAAGCTGAATTCGTTGTGCCAACTCGGTCATCGTATGTTTATCCAGAAACTAATTTGTACTGTAAAATCGTAAAAATGGACCCAGACGTATACCAGAGATATTGTAAAAATGGGTAAATAAAAAGTTATTTAAAGAATATCACATCCAATGTCAAAATCTTAACCTTGTCAGTGTGTATAAAGCTTAACATGTCACAAAAAATAACACTGTTTCGTTTATAAACGCAGTCAATCATGAACAAGAAGCTGTATCTGCTCGAAAGTTTTCAATAAGCTTTACTTACTTACTTGTACCTCATTTACAAAATATTAAGGATATTTTAGGCTAAAATTTGATAATTGATTTGACCTTAAAGTGTGACCTTGACATTATTGGTAGCAACCCAATCATTGCGCTCTGCACCTTGTCTCAAAAAGGTGATTACTTGTGCCAAGTTCATTTTTATCGGTTAAGTAAAGGAGTGGACACGGAATGTAAACTTTTAAAATATCTGGAAAGAAAGTGCACTTAACATTTGTGTGACATTGACCTTGGGGGAAGCAACCTAGTTAGTGCGCTCTGCACATCGTCTAATAATGGTTGAAACAAAAGCCATGTTATTTAAAAAAAATTCAGCGGGTTAAAATATCTGAGCACACGAAATATAGATTTTTAACACTTGACCTTAACTGTTTTCTTGACCTTCGGGGAAGCAACCCAATTATTGCGCTCATGAATCGTCTCATTGTGATCACTTGTGCGAAGTTATTTAAAAAAATAACGGTTTAAAAGTTTAAGAGCAGACACAAAGTGTTACAGACGGAGAGACAGAGGGCGGCCATTCCTATTATTACCCTCCCCGCTTTGCAAAAGGAAATTAACGATAAAACTTGCAGTTTTTTTAAGAAAAGACAAGCTGTACCTGACTGTTATAAGGAACGCAGTTTCCCAAGCATAGTTTTTTTTTCATTCCTGTATTCAAATTAGAAAAGTTAAGTAAGAATTTCAATAATTTTTTGTGAATAATTATCTTACTCAAGGATGAGCATTGCATATCTTTAATATAAATTTTGCTATGATTTTAGTGTCATATGAGAAATAAAACACTTGTTTTTATCTTATTTGTGTTGCATTTCTTTATTTTCAGATGGCAAACTGAATGCAATATGTATTCTCAAAGCTTAAAAACTTTGAATCCGGAACAAACTAGAGCCATATATTCATATCAATATAACGGAAGTACGACTAAAAAATTTTACTTATAAGGCTTTTAACAACAGTTTTTTACAACAATTTTGAGAATACAAGAAGTTTAAAACTGAAAAAGTTGCTTTAAATTCAATATAATTGCTTCACCAGCAGATCATTTTTGTCTGTCAGTATAAAGAAAACAACATCTTGATAATTGTTTTTTATTTTAAAAAGTTTACGTTTGATCGTGCAAATCGAAAGACCTTAGTGAAAACATCTGTTTTTATGTTACCTTACAGGCGAAATGAAAGAAGCATATTGGTCAAAAGATCCCAAGAAATATATTTGGAGGATTCAATGTGAAGGATATAATGAAATTGCGAACACCTGTGCTGTTGCAGATGTGCGACTAAGTATGTATTCATTAAATTAAATACTTTCTATTGCGTTGACAAAATCAAAATCTAGCAATACTTATAAAGTGCTTATAGATTTTTTTCTTTCAATTACATGATAACAGTCAATTATAATTGAACAGATTTTACATAAAAAAGATATTTAAAAAAGAATACTTTTTTTAGGTCTGTTTGTGTTCAACAAGGATCAGTTTAATATGCACGTCAAGAACGCAAGCAGGATTGACTTGTACGAGGCTATTTGTGTAAACTATGGATATGATTCGAGATTCAAATGGTTTTTCCCGTACCTTGGAGGTAAGTTTATATACCGCATGCTTGGTGTTTAACCCTTTTACAGTTGGTAGCTACGCTTTCCTCTTTTGATTACATCTGACGGACTAATTGGGAGATTTTATGATGGAGAGTTCTTTGGGACTGAATTTTCTTAATTTTCAATCTCGCTTCGGTCGGGCCCTTTTATGTGATTTCTTGTTGCTTTAAGATATCGAGTTATTTGTTGTTTATAGTCATTAGGCTGTTCGTTTTTGTACTAATGTAACCATGACCATTGTTAGAATTTCACATTGCTGGGAGTAATCTTATTTACAACGTCTTGTCATATAGAAACATATTGGGCCAATAGTGAGGTCGGGGACTGAGCTTTGCCTTGTTGATCTCTGTTCTCGTCATTTGTAACCTTTAAAGTATATGCCATGCTGCCCTGATATTTATCAGAAATGTCCGAAGTAAAGAAACAGACACAATTAATAAGCAATGGCTAAATGAACAATTAACATGTTTTCATCAATGTATTTTAATAGTGATATTAAATTTACTTTAGGGGCGAAATAAGGAAACTAATTTATAAGAAAATAAAACAACAGCAAATAAAACGTTGTAAAATAATGTAGATTTTTTATTTTATTTTAAGGCATCAAATTATAATAAAATGTTGTACTTTTTGCCTTGGCAAACTTATAATAGATTAATATGTAATGATCATCTTTTCAGAGCCGTGTGATTAAGTACCCGGAAACCCGGAAGAATATTCTTTGCTCTAGAATGATAATTAAACCGGCTGAAATGTATTAGGATATCATTGCAAAGCTATATTCTATTTCTTTATTTCTAAATAAAATTAGATACAATGTAGATTTTAAAACTTATTATTTCCCATTTTCCCTATACGAGAACCTGACAAATGATAAAGGTATGCTAGATTTATATTGATCACGTTACAGTGAATTCAAAAGGATGAAGCAAAATTAAAAACAAACATTTTACAAAGATGAGTGAAACCGGAATCACTAAAAACGCCCGATGCGACAAAATTGAAAATGCTGCAGGCTTGGTTCAATAAAGCCTTCACATGAACGGTGCTAGAAAGAGCAAGTTATTCCCTATCACTAAAGAACGCCCAATACTACACAATTAAAAATGATCCTGGCTCGGTTTAGTTTATTTGATCATGTTCATGGATGTCACTAGAAAGTACAAGTTACCGCACAGGCCCCATAGCACCTGATTGAGCAGAATTCAAAATTTATACATTGTAATAGTGAAATTTTTAATTTATAAACATCCAAAATCTTGATACATTACTATGTGAAGTCTAGCGGTCACCGCATTCGACTCGGCAGGTTACCGGCCGGGACCCGAATAGATTCTGTTCGTTGCACGTATGGTCTTAATGTACCGGGATGGGCAGCGTACGGATCGCGTAAGTAAACTTTAAGCATATTGGGTGGCACTGAATTGGGCTACCCAGGTTCGATTCTCGGACGTCACAGGACACTCTCGTGTTGGTTTATCACGGGTATTCGCACTGTGCCTCTGTACTGGCATGTACCTTTAGAAGTGAAGGCACGTATTACATCTAACAAATCTAAAAAGTGTGCATGTACAAACGGTCTCATATTTCACTCAACACTGGCTCGAGAATTTTAAAAAATGTTAAATAGATACACTTGAAATCACACCCCATTTTCTTAATTTCATTAGAATCACTAATTCTACATATATGCGCAATACAGGCAAAATTGCGTGAAATCGCAATGTTAAGTTCAGATATATATATGTGGCTTGATTTGCGTTCATTAACGGTTATGTGACCTCCGCTGTGTATCAAGTGCTTCAAACAGCAGTGGTATTTTTCTGACGCTTGTTTAAAAATAACACATGAATGCTGCAGGATGGCGTATCAGTTAACACTAAGAGAATGAAAATTTTTCATTTCATATTCAAACTTAAACGATATCATTGTGATAAACGTGCCACAAAAGTGATTAGACTTAAATCAATGGAAGGATACTACGTCATCGCGCACCTGCTGAATGCTCACTCGGACCATTTTTTTTTCAAGAAAATCCGTCGACTCGGAGGTAAAATATGATTGTATTGTAAGAAATAGTAAGAGTATCAAAAAATTATGTAGCGCACCAAAGAATGGCTAAAGTCCTTGAGATAATTATAAAAAAGTGTTTAGATTTATTGCCTGGTTTGGGCCTGAAAACGGATAAGTGTTCCCACTCGGACGTTTCCTGAAAGTTTTTATTATTTGTCACTTTGTCAATAACTGACATTTGTTTGGCGACATTAACTGTTTTCTTCTTTTTACAGGGATCATTTCTTTGGTTCTGAAGAAAGACGTCGTCAGGCAGGAACGATGCGGCATGGTACAGTTTCAATTAACAGGAACACCGTACAAAGATGTGCGCTTGACGTGCGTGGGTATTGAACCTGAAATGATGATTCAAAATTTATGACAACAACTAAGCTAGGAATATCAGATTTTAAATGGACAGTTAGGTTCTAAAAACGACTCAAAGAACGATTTGTAACATGGCGTTATAATAAAACCATTACTTATTTCTGTTATGTCTCATCTTCTGAAAAGTAGTCAATAATAAGTTGATTTGCGGACTACTCTACAGTTTCTTCACCAGGCACAAGTTGAGTTATTGTTCTCCTATGTTTTGATATAAAAACATATAATGTTCTTCAATAGCTGAAGTAAAAGCTATATATAACTCATAAGAAAGATTGACAACATTATGGACCTTTCTTATAATTTAAAACATAATGATTTACTCGTTTGTTGAACTTGTGATTTGAGTTTTTAAAACAACATCAAAATGGTAAATTTATGAACATGAAATAGTCAATATTTATCGGTTGATTTAAGCCGTTTGTAAAAGTACAACATGTAAGAACTGAAATAAATAAAAAAACAATAATTATAATTATTCCTCTATCATTGTCTTAACCAAATCTTGGTAATTAATTAAATCACAGTATAATTATAACAATTATACAAGATGCAGTCACCGACAGCAAATCCTACGTCGAAAAGGAAGGAGGAAATACATTTTAAAGGGGAAGTTACCGATACATACATGTTTATGACAGCCACTCACACGTTAAATTTAATCACGGTGCATATCCATATCGGTACCCTCTCCGAAATCTGCTCAAACGGTACCCTCTTTGCATAAGCACAGGTCATTCTCTGCTAAAAACCAACCAGCAATGGATAGCAATCCAGTAAAATTTCATTGAAATATGGAAAGGAGGTATGACACGTGGAAAAGATGTATACCACGGAACACTAAAATGTTTTATTTATATTTAAAAAAATTAGAGGGTACCTGTGATATAAAATGGTTCATTTCAGCCCAAAAAATATGTTGAGGCGAGGCAAGACATGTCGATTTTTTGTAGCTTCTGTATTTATCTATTTTATTGTGAAGTTGCATTACAAAAAAAACGGGCACGTGACAAATCAGCACATATATAAAACATTCTAGTGTTCCGTGGTATACATCTTTTCCACGTGTCATACATCCTTTCCTTATTACAATGAAATCGATCGTAAAGGTGGTGGTGTAGCTATTTATGTCCGTGATTCTTTACGAGCTATGGAAAGGAAAGATTTGCAAGTACAATGTGTACAAGTATTCTTGACTGAAATACAAATATGTCAGCATAAATTAATTGTTGGGGGTATATATCGACCTCCAAATAATGGTTAAAAATGGAATACTTGTTTGATTAGGCATTAAATCATGACATGATAATATCTTTGTAGCTGGTGACTTTAATATTAACGTACTTGCCAACCCATCATGACAACAAATGGAAGCAAAGTGATCCCTCGGAAGCATTAATCACAACAAAATTACAAGAGAATTGGAGACTCGTTTTGATTGAGTCTGTACATGAGGGATAATGAAAATGTGCAACATCTTTCACGCCCCATTGCACCGGCTTGAGCGGTTCTCAATTCTCATCACTTAATACTGCTGGCATCAATGATCCCGAAGGACCAGAAATATAACAACACTGAAGTGAAGTACGGGACAACTTTTTACAGCTGCCACACAGCACTTGACACCTGCTGTTGTGAAGTATAAAAATCTGGACAAGACTTATACATTCTTTGAATTACGAACAACTCATAAATTCCCCTACGCTTTACACTGGGAATTCTAATTATCTTTTTGGTCTTATCTTTTTGATCTTATGTTCATTAAAAATTCTCGCCATGTTCTCATGTCTTTTGATGCTGGCCCATTTCTCTCTGACCTAGTATGGTTTCATTATCCAATAGTTTCAGTCCTAAATTTCACCAAACTTCAACAAAACTGTTTGCATCGTAATTTTTGGATCTTCATATTGGTGAGTATCATAAATATAATGACATACTTATATCAATTGACTGGTCATTTATCGACAACGATCAAAACCGAGATAATATTGCAGATTGTTTTGCCGAAAACATTTTTAACGCGGAATCCGAAAAATTCCAAACAGAATTGTAACTATCCGGCAAAATGACGTGTACCTTGGATAAATAATGATGTCAAAATACAAATAAGAAAACGTAGGAAACTTCACCAAAAACCTAAAATACTTAATAATGAAAATGCCTGGGCTAACTTTAAAAAAATCGGAATGTTACTACAAAATTATCGACAAAACTAATAAAAGCAGATTATCATAATAACGTAACTACACAGATAAATTCAGACACCATCATAGCAATAGCCTGGTTTAAACTTGCAAAATAATTAACAAACAAACAAAGTGCATCAACAATACCAACACTTGTAAATGATTCAACTATAGCGGATTCAAACAAAGAGAAACTGACCTTCTAAACACCAATTTCAGCAAACAATCAACCATCGAAAACCCACACCATCCCCTTCCACCTATTGAAATCATCAAAAACGCCCTCATTTCTGATGTAACAGTCACTACTTATGACTTTAAAGACTCCATTAAAGACTCCATCAACTCTATGGACTCAGCTAAAGCATCTGGTCCGGACTTCATTAGTCCAAGGCTCATTAAGGAAGGCAAGGATAACTAGCAGCACCACTTGCAATGTTTTATTAACAAATTTCTTCTAAAATCTGTATTTCCCTTTTCCTTGAAACTTGCCAATGTTTGTCATATTTATATCAAGAGCTGTCACGCAAGTGACGAATGTCCCCGAAAATGATTCTTAAGCATGCAGGTATTATGAAAAGAAAAGAAAATGAAAGTAACTAATTGCTTAATATTGTTATTGTAAAATGATATGCTATTTATAGCAAACTTAACACCTTAAGACAAGGGTTTAAGATGCGACACAAAAGCTTGATGTGGTAGACATTAATGCCAAATTTACTTTTAAAGTCTTCAATGCATGACAATGTTACAGTTTTGAAACTAATGTGTCTTTCAAACTCTTCTTATGACCTTGAAGGTAGGGACATGAGTCTTACTCTACAATCTATTTTGGCTATATGATGTGTACCAAAACGGGTTGCATTCTTACAGTGTATCTATATAAGGTTTTATACGTGTGCAAAAACGGGTTGCACTCTTAAAGTGCTTGCATCAAGTGTATATATATGTGTACAAAAACAGGTTACACTGTTTTGAAATGTTAATTTAATTTATGTTTGTACAAAACAGGTTGCATTCTTTAATCTAATCTATATACTATATTTATAAGTGTGCAAAAACGGGTTGCACTCTTAAATTGTATGTATCGAGTGAATATATATGTGTACAAAAGCGGGGTGCACTCTTGAATTGAATCTCTACTGTATAAAGGTGTGTACAAAAACGGGTTACACTCTTTAATTTAATCAACATAAGGTATTTATACGTGTGTAAAAACGGGTTACACTCTTAGATTGCTTGCATCAAGTATAGATGTGTACAAAAACGGGTAACATTGTTAAATTCAATGTTGTATGGTATGCAGGTATGTAGCAGTCTTATAAGGAATCTATTGTGGCCATATGGATACGAAATTTTTTCTTATTAACGTCTTTTATATGTACAAAAACAGGTTGCATTCTTAAATCTAATCTATACATTTTTATATGGTATTAATAAGTGTGCAAAAACAGGTTGCACTCTTGAATTGAATCTCTTTACGGTACTAAGGTGTGAGCAAAAACGGGTTACTCTCTTATATACAATTTTTTTGGCTATATAAGTGTGTACAAAAACAGGTTGCACTCTTAAAATGCAGCCATTCAAGGTATAAATCTTTATGAATACATGTACAAAAACAGGTGAATTCTTAAATCTAATCTATACATTTGTATATGTTATTTATAAGTGTGCAAAAACGGGTTGCACTCTTGAATTGAATATCTTTACGGTACTAAGGTGTGAGCAAAAACGGGTTACTCTCTTACATACAATTTCTTTGGCTATATAGGTGTGTACAAAAACAGGTTGCACTCTTAAATTGAATCAATGCAATGAATTTGTGTGTGTGCGAAAACGGGTAACACTCTTACGTAGACCCTTATCTGGCCATGTAGATGTGTACAAAAACGGGTTGCACTCTGAAATTGAATCCATTTAACGTTTGCATGTTTGTGCAAAAACGGGTTACACTCTTA